GAGGACCCGGTTCAGATATAGGGGCTCAAAACCAGGATCCACTCCCCTCCACCTTATTTTGTAATACTACTTGCCGCTAAGAGCGTAAAACGTGTCAGGAGGCTGAGAACTCTGATATAATGCTTGGATGTAATATACGACTGCATTGCAACAAGAACATGGTTTATTGCCTTATTAGCTACTGTGATTACTAGTGGGCTCCATCACTGAAATGACCTTCACGTCGGTGCCATTGGGTTAGGACGCAAACGTAATGTATCAGTACGCAGCCAAACAAATCCGTCGCAAGAGCAGCGTCTCCTACTCCTAATTCACATGCAAGCCGGGATGCTGCCGCAAGGTGGACCTGGCGCCGCCAGGAATTTAAAAATTTGGCCATGGATGAAAATCGCGGTTGCGTCTTGCACCTAAATGGTCCGCGAGGACGCGTGTGCGTGCGCCCCGTCACTCCACCAGAAGGCTCAGTGCGCAAAGCGTCCGATCGTGGTGAAAAGGCTACCTCACTCCTATTAACTCCCCCCCCCCCCTAAAAAAATCAGCATATGTGAATATTTAGATAAATGATGCATAGATTCACGTGCATGTACAAGAGTTATTTTTCTCCATTATGAGAAGCAGTTTTTCAATGTCCTCGGCACCTATGAATGCGAGGGTGTCGGTTTAGTTTCAGCATTGGTGGGGACGAAATCAGCAAATCACACACACACACACACACACACACACACACACACACGGTATTCCCACAATATAGGTATAGACATGCCCCTAATGTACACCCTTGTAAGAATAACAAGTAGATCTCTGTCCACTAGCCCTACGGTGACCATGTTCTGTGTGTGTTGTTCAGACATTCCCGCCCCCCATCAAAAGCTGCACCAGCCTTTAACTCACACACATCACTGAAAATGATTATTTCTCCCCCAAGTGCTGATTTGAGCAACTAAGTAAACACTACAAACTGCCCTCAGCATGATGGGCAGACCTTGTTGAACACACCCTTACACACAGATTTGGTACATAACCCCTGATTTTCCAAGGGGTTACACACACATGGCCCAGTGCAGTGCACCTTCGCCCTGACACAGGAGTGCAGTTACATAACAGTGGAGGCTTGGCTTGGCCTGGCTCTCATTTCAGTGATTAATACTCCTCTGCCTCCCCACGTCTTTTTCTGCTTGTCTTTCGGCGGCTTTTCAACTCTGCCTCAAAATTCAAATGCAGCGAGCTTTATCGGCATGACATTTAAAACACGACCAAATCATTCAAATCAATGTATAAGGAAAAACAATGCATATCGATACGGTTTTAAAAATCAGAAAAGTCAAGGTGTGAAATTGAAGTAACAGACACAGTCTTACATAAAGTAAAGAAATGGGCATTTAGGTCAGCTATCTGTGTGCCTGTTATTACTGCCCCCCCCCCCCCAGCTTCTGACAGGTAGACAGATATCAGATACCAGCAATGTGTCCCTCCCCCACAGCTACAGCTGGTGTCCCTGGCTTAGACATTTCAGTGAAACATGAGAGACGGAAGGGACATGCTGCTTCCAATGAAGTCCCTTGTCTGGGAGTTTTTTTTACCCCCATATCAGAAAGTTGTCCTGCATTTGCACCTGCCTTGTCTTGGGCTGGCAGAGTTGGCCTTCTCTGCCCTATCAGGCCTCTGCTGTGTCTGGGTCATTCCCTCTCGCTGCTCTGACAGTGACGCTCTTCCAGACTGTTCTCCTGTTTACTGCCTCATTTCCGTTTTCAAGTGTCAGACGATATTTAAAAATTTTGGTGCATAATTTGGTTTAGTCTGGCTGGAAATTTGCAAGCTGTGCTAGTTTGATACTGGCTAGTACTGTTACTAGCTATTTCAGTGAGTTTTATTTACTTCAAGAATAAAGTAGAAAACAAAGCACACCCCAAACTGGACCCACACACCCACAACGGCCTTGCCCAGGAACCAGAAAATGGGATGATATAACCACAGAAACACCCAAACGACACTACAACCCTAATTAGGCTTACCAAAAGCCCGGAAACGAGATACCAGCGACCAGAGACAAAATGCTAATTGGTAAAATTAGCCCGCAAACACAGAACCAGAACCCCCAAGAGAACCAAGCCTAGTGCTGAGCCATAGGCTCACACAGCAATGAGACAGAGCCGTGAGTGAAACTGGAAGGAGACCCTACTTCCAGTTCAGAGTAAGGTCACACAGAACCAGAGTAGTGATACTGGTAAATCAGTACTGCAACTACTCTGGGGCCAGACAGCGCATGTGTACAGAATTTTCTCAATTCTAATCGCTTGGTTTTTCTTCCTCTGTCCCTCAGTCTCTTTGGCACACCTTTCCGTCTCCACTGCCTCGCTCACTCTGTCTTCTTCATCTCTTGGCCTCTCTGTTACTGCCTCTATCTGGCTACCTGTCCTCTTTTCTCTCCACCTCTATCCATCTGTGTCTCATTCTCTCTCTCTGAATCTCCATCACCTCAAGTCAAAGATGTTTTATTGGTAGGAGCTGAATATTATGCCAGCGATGTAGAAAAATCAAACAGGCAAACAAACACAGAAGAACAAATACGCTAAACTTTACGACTGTTAGAATTGAGACTGCATATGTTAGGTATTGTTTAATTGTAATACTAATGCTGTGTATGACTTTTGTACTGTGTACAAACATGTCATTTAACTTGCTTAATAATCATATGGATCTTCTTCTGAGCTCTGCACTGCGGTCCACTTCCTCCCCGTCCATTGCCTCTCCTCTCCGCCTCCATCCTCACACAGGCTCCCCATTACTGTCCACCGCCTTCCTCAACCCGCCGCTGGGATGCACCTCTAACACAGTGAAAACCAAAGCCTAGCCTCTACAGTGTCACCCATGCCTGAAGATTAAGAGATTCACAGCAACGTCAAACAGGGTGAAGGACTGTAGAGGGCAGGAGAGAGACCTGGGGACAGATGGGCAGGGAACTCATGGGGGGGGGGGGGGGGGGGGGGGGGGGGGGGGGGGGGGGGGGGGCGGGGGGCGGGGAGGAGAGAAGGAAGGAGAAGTATAAAGCAACTGGGGGGGAAGGGGAGGGGGTGTGAGGCGGGGCCTTTGGGAGCAGGATGGAACGTTAATTGAATTCTTGCACAGGAATCTGTACTGCACACTTATCAGTAGCAGAGCTCAGTTCATTTGACACAATACAGTATAATTATAATTAAACTGAGTGACTCAACGGTGAGAGCTGAGAGGCGAGTGCCTGAGCACAGCCCAGGGGGGGGAGACGTAATATACAGTATGGGGAGAACATGGTTGTATAGGGGGTATATATACACCTGGTATACTAATTTGTGAAAGCTGGTCGTAAAAGGCCATGTATCCCATTTAAAAGTATCCCCCCCCCCCCATCTGTACCCCCTTCCAGTTCAGCATCCAGTACATGAACTGCAGTCCTAACCAAGCAAGAAAATTAAAACCAAGCAGTGTTGCCTCATAATGGAGGCAAACCCATTAGACATCTGGAAGGAAACTGGTACATTACATTTGTACCTCTGTTGCACCCAGTTCCCTAATGAATCCACGTTGTTAGGGTTCTGTGTTCTGTTGTTTGCTTAATGTAACTGTTATTTCACATCCAACAGTCAGCTAGAGGAACTATAATCCTTTAATAGCTATGGAAATTAAACCCAGGGGAAGTATTTGGTTGGCCTTTGGTGGGTTTATTTATATAAGCACATAAAACTAAACTCTTCTCCCATAGGCAACTTTTTAGAAGATCCAAAGGCACCACTGAAGGTCAGGCAATGATAAACTCTCCCAATAAGATACATTTTAGTTGCACATAAGGAAGAAAACCTCCAATATGTATGAGAGTAAATAATTAGATATCTAGATTTCAATTGATTCCTACGACTGATTTCTCTACATCTTCTTTCTGTAATAGACCTCAACAGGGCAACAAAAACACAGCCACTAGACTAGCAATACAACACATGATTTACTCCCTGTGTCCAGGGCCATTCCGGAAGCTTCCTTTATGGGCGTAAATGGTCGTTAAATCAAGTAGCTTGTTTTCCCACAATGCAGGAAGGCATTCTGATGTAACACTGACACCTGCTGGCAAGTTTCTGCAATTACTTGAATATAGTAAACTGAAAAACTTTCCCAGAGGCCATCCATCATCCATCCATCTTCATCGTACGCTTTTCATACTTGCATAATTTTCCCCAGAAGAGCAGCACGTCAGATTTGCATTAATAGTCGTCACTACTCTTAATTAATCAAGCGGAAGGCATCATTGCACATACTAGCTAACTGACATTCAACGACTGTCTCTTTTTCCTGATAGCAACCAGTGACTCTGCCCACTGCAGAGTGACAACATGTTAAGAAGCAGAAGCGCACAATTCATTTCTTACATTCAGCCATACTTACGTTTCTGTTCTTCCTGGCTTTTACATATTTTCTGTATTTTCTTAGGAGAAAAGCAGATATATACATACTAAAATGGAAATAAAGGCATATCAAAGGCTGTTCTTTAGTATGTATAGAATGCTCCTGTTAAATTCTCGCCTCTGAGGGCACAGTGCAAACAGGTACCCATAATGCTCTTTGCCAGTGGCGATTTCACATCACCGTGTGGCTGAAGGAATTACTGAAAACAGAAAACAGCACAGATCGCAGAGGATGGTCGAATGAAATCCTGAGCATGTAATAATGTCGAGGCACAGCTGAGCAGAAAGAGAATGAAGCAAATTTACAAAGGGGGGGTTTCAGCAGTAAACCGACAATGAGCACAAAGGTAATATCAGCAGGATACTGCTGATACAATCAGCAATTATGTATGACTGATGACAGCGATTCCTGAAAATGGAGGGAAGAACACTGATGGGAAGGAAGGCTACGGCTGGCTGGGGGGTGCGGGCGGCCATGATGGACTGCCGATGAAGGTCACCACGAAAGCAAGCGAAACGGGGAATCCGCCGGGAGGTGAGGACGCTGACGCCGGCGAGCATGCAGCTTACCAGCGTTGATGCTGCGGAGGTGTAGACAGGGGTGTGGCCAGTCGACAGCAACACTGGCTGAAAGGAATCACAGGAAGGGGGAGGGTCACTGCACCGGAGGAATGGGTCACTGTATGGGGGGGTGGGTGTCACTGTACTGGAAGTATGGGCCACTGTATGTAGGAGGGTGTTACTGCACTGGAAGGATGGGTCAGGGGAGAGGAGAGGAGAAGAGTGGAGAGGAGATGAGGGGAGAGGAGAAGAGAGGAGGGGAGAGGAGAAGAGAGGAGAGGAGGGGAGAAGAGTGGAGAGGAGAAGAGAGGAGGGGAGAGGAGAAGAGAGGAGAGGAGGGGAGAGGAGAAGAGTGGAGAGGAGAGGAGACAGCAGGCAAAGCGTGTGTGGAGCTTGAGATTCTATAGAAAAGACAGAGAAGACCCAAAGCTCAGGGAAGTTAACAAAAACTGATGAGAAAGAAGGAACACGGAGGGTCTTGGCTTTCAAGACAGAGATGATGTTTACATGGGGTTAAAGAGCACTGACTCAAAGGGTGACGTCACCGGTGACGGCAGGACAGAGTCATCACAGCGAGCAACGCAGGGCAGGACAGCAGGCTGAGTAAGACAGAGCTCCAAGTGAGCAGATATAAAATGGACAGAGAGACAGATAAACATGAGGCACTAACAGGCAGAAATCGAGTGGACGACAGAATCAGTAAAAGGGGCTGAGGAAGCAAATGAGCAAAAGCGGACTGAGAGAAGAGAAACGAAGGTACAAAGATGAAGGCATCAGGGCCAGCTTCCATTCCACTGCAGTTCAGCCGAAGACGCCGTCTCCAACACACTGTTATTATAGGCTTCATTTTTTAATTTATTTTTTATATTTATATAAAATAAATTTATACTTATTTTTTAATCCAATTTAATATGAGTTTTAGTGTGGTTTTATTAGTTTTTATTTTAAAGGTATACATCTCTTTAGTTTTTATATATTTTTATTTCAATTTTATTTTATTTATTTGTAGGGATAGTTTGAAAGTTTGAATTCATAGTATTAAATGTCTGTAAAATGCAATGACATCTGACATTTGTTTAAATATTTTTTCAGTTTCTGACACAACATTTATAGTTTTCATTTAGTTGTAGTTTTTAATTTTATTTTCTGTATTTTAATTCATTTAGGTTTCCGAATATATTTTCGCTTAGTTTTAGCTTTAGCTAACCATGATGACCCTGCACCGCGGGGGTGTGACCCTTGCCAACACCCCCCCAGTACTGCTCTGAGCAGCCCATAATACTGGCACAATATTTCAGCATATTTTCTGCCTTCCTGTATACAAGTCGGCAGGGGAGATGACCGTGTGTTCACGCAAATTTTCACCAGCAGCGGCAGATCAGACTAAACTTCATCCCGCTTTCATTCCCGTCCTTCTGGAAAGGAACCGGAGCGGAAAGAATCGAGGCCGATCCATGCTACTGCCCTTACAAACGATTCAATTTCTACATGGCAGAGCGAGTATTTTTACAGCATTCAATGGTCTGTTTGCCTCTAAAAAAATGACTGTTTTTATCTGACCGCAGTCATAGTGTACATTAATTTATACATTAATTTGAGTACTATGGTGGGAAATAGTAAATGGTCCAGATCTCAGAATAAAGCAGTCATGGCAGTCTAAACAAAATTAATGAATAAACAGAAATTGGACAAGATTCGTAAGCGAATGCATTCAGCAGTGCTTCTGGTTAATGCAGTGAGCTGTCCTTGGTACTGAAATATGATAGTTCCCTCTATGGACACATGGGGGCACCCTCTCACCACAGCACATTTCTATGCTATATTAAATACAAAAAATCTGGTTATAACTATAAGTACAACGTAATAAAACCAATATCAATTTTTATATTATAGAATGATAGATGCAATACTGGTCCCTGTCTTTTGTGCTAGAAGGGCAAACCGAACAGCCAAAAAACCATGAGCAACGGCAAAATTATGTGGTTGATTAATGATGAATAAGAAGCTGGCACTGATCTGCAAAGAACATTCTAGAAGACATGGCTGCTTTGGACAGACCAATGAGCTTCCAGAGATACAGAGCTGCTAGCAGCATCAAGGCCAGACCTATAGGGGGCGGTCCTCTCTGCTTACAATAGGGCAGAATAAACTAAATGATTAGCGATGCACATGCTACTCCGCATTATATAACAAATCACTAGGCCTACCAGGCATGTGACAAGAAATCATGTGACCACGTCATGAAAAGCCTTTGATTGCCATGCAATTCAGAATACCCAAGTGAGGCATTCGTGTGTGTGTGTGTGTGTGTGTGTGTGTGTGTGTGTGCGTGCGTGTGTGTGTTTGTGTGTGTGTGTGTGTGTGTGTCTGTGTCTGAAGATGACTTCCACATGCAGGGTTAATGTCTGTGACAGAACGTCTAGCATTTTATTGTCTCCTCCTGCCTAAATAGAGGAATACTGATCTCTACGTGAAACAACGAAAGAAAAAAGTTTACAAAAGAAAAAACAAGAGCAGCTGATACGTGTGATGGGAGAAGAGGGTAAACAGGTGGGTGTGGGGCGCCAGGGGGGGCGCTCTCACTGTCAGTAAGCCTGTCCATGCCACCCATCTAGACCCACTGTGTTCTGGGACCAGGCTCGTACCTTTATGGGAGAGAGGTGCGTGTGGGGGGCGTATCCATGCATGCCATCCATGGGTGCCAGGCTTTTGTTGCTCAGGTGCATCAGCTCGCTGCTCTTCCCCGGGACTAGATGGGCCGGGCTCTGCTCCATTGGGGGGGTCTCCTCATCCTGATACCTGTATTTCTGCAGGGAGTCAAACAGAGTCCCACGTGAGTCCACACGGCATTGGCAACCATAGCTTTAGCCCGCATCTTCAAATCAGCACCACTTAAAACTAACTTGTATCCCATAAATTGATTCTTCTTGATTAGGACAACTAATTAATATTATTTTAGGTTTGGGGTAGGTTTATTCAAAGGAGACAATGCAGTTTGCATTTCAGCCCATTTCAAAAGCAGGGTAAATTTTACATAGGCAATTCTGGATTTTATTCCAGCCCTTGAGAGGATCCCAGCGGTACAACAGCACCCCCTGGGGGAAGGGAACCAGCCACATTTTATTCGGAAGCCCTCTCTTCATTATCCACCATCCCGTCACCTCCTTAGCTGTGACACTGATTCACTATGAGGTGGATGATCAGTGACAGAGCAGCAAGACTTTCAAAACAAAATACACACACACACAAAAAAAACACCAAAATGTAACAGAAGCCAGCAGGGGGGGAACGGTGAGATATGAGAACGAGGCCTGAGAATCTGACCCTTAAAGGTCAGTCTTAAACAACAGCTGATCCTGCATTTACAAAGTCCTCATCCACGGTGAGAAAGGACAAGCGTGCTGACGAGTGTAAAACGCCTCTTTAGTGCTGAACTAATGTGGATCCAGATCAAAACCCGCAGAACCACACGGGAGTGGAGAGAAGGGGATGTGATGTCCGCTTGCTTAATACGCCGGGTGTGTGTGAGGACAGGGCAGGACATAGGGCTATAGAAACCATTCAAAATATATATTAATTAGGGCCGTGTTTCCCAACCCGGTACTCAGGAGGGCCCAGACAGTCCAGGTTTTTGCTCCCTTCCAGCTCCCCCATCTGACAGGGAGCTGGAAGGAAGCAAAAATGTGGACCGTCTGGGCGGTCCCTGAAGACCGGGTTGGGAAACCCTGAATTAGGGAGTAACACTTGGAACACATTTCATGGATTCTGCAGATAAAAATGTTTCCTTAAGACTGAATTTCTTGGTCACGCGTCCCATTGCAGGCCCAGAATCCCAATTAATTGAGGAAAGTTGTCATTGATTCTCATTTTAATGCAACTAATGTTCCCCAAAAATAGATACAAACTAACAAATACAAACAAACCATTTGGGAACCTTTAGTTATGGGAAAAGATTAAGTCATTCATTAATTAATTCTAAAACCCGTCAACATAAATCTGTCAACTACTTGAAACAGACAGATGACTCAAAAACATGAATCCCCATCAAATTCAATAGATTCCTGCTGCGATTCAGCTGATTAGACGTCTAGTCCTGGTATGTTGACACAATGGCGTGTAAAATATGATCTTCTGCAAGCTAAAACCAGCTGTTAGTAGCCATTGTTTTCATATTTTCCGTAATATGGCCGTAATATGAAACCAACCGAAAGGGTTCGCAGTGCAAGGGGTTAAAGCGGCAGGACGAAGGACCCTTTTTCAAAGAAAACGATAGTTAGCGTCTGACTTATCTCACATTACACAGACACAGCAGGAGCCGAGCGCAGATAAGAGGGACGGGAAGGAACGGGACGAGATCAACGGAAAGAAAAGATGGAATACAGGAAAAAGGGAGATACAGTAGATGGACAGATCAGACGAGAGCGTGAAACAGCGTTATACACCAGTGGCCAAAACTGTGGAAGCACCTAGCATTTTTGCCATTACGCTTTAAAACTTGTTACAAGAATATTGTTAAGTCAAAGTATGTTACAAATATCATACACTGGGCAATTAGTAACTGGAATAAAGTTCTGCAATCTCTAAAAATTGTAAGTGTTTACACAATTTTACCCTCCTAGTATAGATAAAAGCGCCTAAATGAGATTTTTGTGCGCCTAGAGGCAGTTTTTTTAAACAAACGACTATTGGTGAAACGATTAATCAAACAAATTCTGCAAAAACTGTCAGCTGAGAAGCACAGTGTTACTGTATATAAAAGCCGATGGTCGAGCAAGAAATAGTGTTCGACATGTACGGAAGCAGCCCCTGGGGGTTATGTTTTAATTCTTAGATTAAATACATCTAAGACAAGGACAATCTGAACCCGAGAATGTGCTCGGACGCACATATCTGTAGACAATTTGTGCATCATTTCAAGCGATCCTTTCATCACTGGAAAAATAGTTCGAAAAAGCAAGAGCGACAGATTAATCTCACTAAATGACCGGACGTGTCAAAGTCTCCGTCTGGAAAGTTAGCAACAAAACACTGTTTGTACTCGACATCTACTGCATATAAATACGATAAGGTGAAGCAACAGCAGCATTTTCTGGTCTGTCATATTCACTTCGGGCTCATCGGCAAAATCGGGGCTAGAGTCCACAAGTTACCTATTTTAATAGTAAAAATAAAGGCGTAAGACGGCAGACCCCAATGATCAAAACAGGTTAAAGATGTGAAGAAATCAGGCGACAAAACACAAGCCCTCGTTTGGGCTCTCTACCTTAAAGGCTTTTAAGGCTTTAAAAAGCAGATTGTGTAGAAGCAGGAATATTTCACTGCACTGCAACAGAAACTAGCATTTGTTCCAGATTATATTTCAAATGATGAGCACTATAACCTAATCAGACATATGCCTAACCTAATATAGATATCTGTAACAACAGAGATAAGCATTTATTGTTCTAAACAAGCTAAAACCAAGCACTAATTGCCATTAACCCGGTATGACAGTTGCTTGTTACATCATAAAGACCCGGCTGGAAAAAAAACAGGAAATAATATCATGACAGAAGGCGAAATCACACCCAGGATTAGTAGCTAAAGCTTGTTTAGTCACAAGTCTTAAAAAATAGATCTATTTTTATAACAGTTTCACTGCTGTTGCTATTATATAAACAATTAAACACCTGATTCATATTCATTGCACTTTGCAGCTGCTTATATGTCAACAGCAGACTTTATAAACGTGTCGCTGTCCCATTTTATCATGTGATATCCACAGTAGCAGTTTATTGCAAATTTCATTACTGCAGTGATGTCACACGAGGTGGATTTGATTTCTATCTTATGAGGTCAAGTCTTCCTTTTGGTCTTCTGATGTTACAACAGGCAGATATCTAGGAGCCTCTCTTCTGTCTTGTGATGTCATAACTATTATTATAACTATTATTATTATAAAAACAAGTATTGCTTTTCTTTTTATGTAAAATTAAAACTGTTTGAATTGACATTTTTGCGTGTTATTGACTATGGTGATGTACTGTATATGCATGCATCTGCTCATTGTTCAGGATGTTGGATGGTGTGTATCATGGAGCACTGAGGTTTATTTCAAACAGTGGTTCTCTTACTCATCATTGTGTGCTTTATGCTAAAGTAAATTGGTCATCTTTACAAGCTTTACAGTCTTGGTAAAATTCCTTCTTATTTATCATCATTCCTGATCTGGAAGCAAGGAGGTCGTGATCTTCGCTTGATGGACTTTTTAAAACTGGTTGTTTCAAAAGTAAGAACTGAATTGGGAAAGAAAGCTTTTAGGTTTTCAACACCTGACACGTGGAACACTCTTCAAGCTGAACTTCGTCTGCAAAATTTAATACCCTTGAATGAATTTAAAGTTTTGGTACAAACTCTGGAGTCTAGGTTGTCTGTGAGCAGGTGCCTGGTCTGAGTATGTTTTTATGTAATTTAATGTAAGATTTTGTACTGACACTGTGTTGTTGCTACCTTGGCCAGGTCTCCCTTACAAAAGAGATCTGTGATCTCAGTGGGACAGACCTGGTTAAATAAAGGCTAAATAAATAAATAAATTAATTAATAAAACACAGATACGTAGTATGTCACAATTCAGAAAACACCAGGTTTTTTTTTCGGCCCAGAAGTATAATATAGTTCTGGAGCTGATTGCAGTAGATCACAGAAGAAGTCTTAATAAAGTAAGTAAATAAACACAGTTCTCTTTGGTTCTCCACCTGAATACAGCTCACACTGCCATGAGAGAGAGAGAGAGAGAGAGAGAGAGAGGGGGATAGATCAAGATTAATAGGGAAATCTGTCATGGTGTGCAATCTGTTTTAACAAAAAGTGTCCCAACTGAAGAGCAGGGGCAGACAGGGGTGGTTAGTGATGAACTAGATGGGAACATAATCGCAGGCCCTGTGGGGAGTTCAGGCCCGGGGCGCAGGTGATGAATGGAAACAGCTGGCAGGTTACAGTCAGTAGTGCAGAGGTTGCAATGCTGCAGAGAGGAAACACAAGCCAGACCGCGGCGGTCTGGTTAGAAGATGTTGATAGGCCTTTTCAGCGGCTGCAGAGTACAGAATCCTCTCCTGGAGGCTCGTCAAAGCTGCACGGGAGCACAGGAGCTGCATTATTTATTTCTTTAGAAGATCTGCTTGCCAATACTCAGACCGTAAACAAACCCAGTCGGGTAACTTTCTCACGAGGGCCAGAGATAAAGTACCAGGCACCAATATCCTTACTACATACCTGCAAACTTCACTACTTGTCCTACCTTGGACTGAAATGGTTACGCAAACTATGGGTCAAACTGCAGTTATGTGGCATCAAAAATTACATCCATGTTTTCTATTACTTACTTCTAACGTAGTATATTCCCAGTGTATTGGCAGTCCATTGTGAAGCTTAGATCAGAGTACACCCTGGTCTAAATGGCCATCGAATCTGCACACACAACACAAATACCAAGAGGACATTCCTGCTTAACGCCTGTAGAGCTGGAACCGAATTCAACTCCCAACTCTTGCAGTGTGAAAAGACATCTTGCCTGCAGTTCTACCATGGCCTCGGTCACTAATTACAATTTCCAATTAAAGTTAGCATAATTTCTCAGAGTGGTGACTCAGTGGTTTTCACTGTAGCCTCCTACCTGCAGGGTGGTGGATTAGATCCCTGCCCTCAGCTGTACGAGTGAAATTTGCATGTTTTTCCTGTTTTTGTATAAGCCAAGGTATTCAAATCACGGTCCTCAAGGTCCAAGCACTGCTGATTTTCCAGCCTTCCTTTACCCGTGAGCTGGGTTTGAAGCCTCCAGCCAATCAGAATCAGTAATGATTAAACTAACTACCTGTGTGACATCCGGTCGTGCATGCAGGAACCGGGGAAGGAAGGTCGGGAAGCCGGAGTCCAAAATACGGGATTTATTGGGGAAACACGAGCCACAAGCACACAACACGGTATACACACACACAACACGGTATACACGCACACAACATGGTATACAAGCACACAACACGGTATACACGCACAAAACACGGTATACACACACACACAACATGGTATACAAGCACACAACACAGTATACAAGCACACAACATGGTATACACGTACACAACAGGGTATACAAGCACACAACACGGTATACAAGCACACAACACGGTATACAAGCACACAACACAGTATACAAGCACACAACATGGTATACACGTACACAACATGGTATACACGTACACAACACGGTACATATGTACACAACACGGTATACACATTAATGACAGATCTGGGGAAACTGATTCGGACGCAGCCTTAAATACACAGAATTAAACAAGGAAAACAGGGAACAACTGGTTACAATTGGGGTTTCACGCGAGGTAAATGAGAGGCCGTGGCACACAGGAGGATCGGACAGAACTGATAACAAGGCCTAGATTTGGAATCGAGGGCCAGATTTGAAAAGCGATGGTATAGGCCTTCTCAAAGCACCCCAACTTCTTCCCACAGCTTAGAAACAGCTGGTTTAGCTATAATAGTGACTGCAAATTGCTTATAAGGCATGACTGAGTGAGTGAGTGAGTGAGTGAGTGAGCGAGTGAGCGCCCTGTACTTTGTGGGACACACTCCAGGAGCTCCATGACCCTATACCAGATAAGTGGTCGAATGATGATGAATGGATGAATGTCACAGACAGTTCTGAAATATTAGACAAAGTTAGACAAAGCCTGCAATTGTTTTTGAATGAAGACCCATGTTTTCGACACTCCTAGCAGTAAAAAAAAAGACCTCAATTGTGACATCAGTTCTTTCCCAAAATGCTCCAAGGCAACAAGACTCAATCTATATTGAATCTGCATGGGCAATGCCTGCAGCTACGTTTACCAGGCAGTCCTTGAGGTCACAGACATGTTTAATGCTGTCAGCACCTTCACTCAGAAGGCCACACTCAGGGCCAGTAGCCAAGGTGCAGAAATCCAGGCTAGAATTTTCCGTCCATGAGTTCAGCCCAATCATTATTTCCTGGGAAAGTAGGGAAAGGATGGCACCCACCATTACATCATGGGAGCAGAGATGCACCATTCTTCCGGTAACTGCTTGCTCTGCTAGGGACATGTGTAAAGAAAGCAATCAGCCAGGCTGGCAGTGAACTCTCTACCCCTGAGGCACCTGGACTGACTAAACTGAAATTGGGGGGAGACTGGAGGGGGACATCGAAAAAATATGACATAAAGGCATGAACACACAGGGAGTCATCTGAAGTGCTTTGTGGAAGTATCCAGCTTCTGGATCTCATTTCATGAAATTACAAGGATGCGTGCACTTTATGTTTTATTCAAAACCCAACTGGTCAAACTCAGAATTCAGAAGCCTACGATACATTTTTGCTGACATTCCTGCGACGTAACTGAAAAAGATGAAATATGCTGATTTCATAAATATTCAGATTCCAGAACCCCGTATTTGTCGAAGCCCTTCTGGGAGCAATTATAGAACATTTTTTGAGTAAGTCTCCAGCAAATGTGTACACCTGCTACAGGAATGTTTATGGGCAGCAATTTTTAAATCTTTCTAAAGATTTTCAATGGGATTCAAGTGATGAAATGTGGCTGTGTCACACGAGAGCACCTAATTTCTTATTCATATGTAAAGCATGTTATTTGTGAAGACCGGCAGTGCATGGGGGTGAAGTGTCAGGCTTTGCACAACTGTAAACATTCTCAGCAATTTACTTGGCATTCCATAGAAGGGTAGTACAGTGTGCACAATGCATGCCATATTTGGTAATATGTGAAACCTAGAAGTCTGCAACTGTAAATAAATTGTGAATTTAGATTTTAAAATTATACAGCTATGATATTGCTTACATTTCCAGGGTTTTTTTAAACTGGCATTGTCACTTATAAACCACACTATTTATGGAAGCAGGATCCAAAGAAAGTCCAATACTATTGCCAACTAATACAAAAGGTTATTCATCAGAACTCTCATTCAACAACAAAAAGTCAATCTTATAATGCCTTAAAACGACCACACGCGGAATCTGTGACTTTCAAGCTTCAGAACAATGAGACAGAGATACTGATCCATGATTTATGGTAAAACACGGTCATGCTCCTACTGCTAATGAGCTCGCGATAAGGCCGCTGCTTTAAAAGACACTCCGGAGAGCTTCCTCTGCCTGACACTGCTGATTTAAACTATTTATACAGCCCAGCTACCGCGATTCTCCTGCAAATAGCAGCCATCCTTCTGATCCATCCATGCTCATCTTGGTCACATCATGCCGCACTCATTTATCGCATTTATCATACAGATCATCATCTACTCAAGTCGTCATTTAGAATAAAGCTGTGGTACAGGAAAAACCCTTTGCCACTGACCCTCACTCCTCTTTTACCACTGTCCCTGAATGTCTCCCCTTACCTACATCCGAAACATGCTGCCCATTCCATGGCCAAGATTGTGCAGCAGTCAGAAATGTACTCATTCATTCAACTAAAAGTAAAGCGAGAGAAAATGAAGACAATTTCATAAAAAGCCAAGAACTTACGGATTCAACATACACAATGTGATCTCATTTAACTAACTCATCATGCCTAGTTAATCGTTTTTTTATTGCTTTCCCACTTCCAACTGAAGAAAATCGTTCTTTAATTGTTCCTGTACACTAAAATTCACTTGCACACTTGTTTCCCCCCAATTTGATCCTTTCTCATGTGTCACACTGAGGAACGTATTACTAAAAACCTGGATTTTACAAGACCCATTCCACACAAAAGTGTATTAAGTGCACACATATTTATCAGTTGCAAATGCAGCAATTAATTTTCTTTTCTCTCTAGGTTGACCCTCTCTCCCAATTACCTCTTAGTTCTAGGGTTCCAAACGTGTGAAAATGACAGTGAACATGAAACGATCTGTACCACGCGAACGTTTCTGTACATATATACCACACATTGTGTCTACAGCACTAACATATACCGTATATGACCGCAAGCCTGCCTTGAGTTGTAGTAATAACGCCACTTCTCGGCCTTTGCGTAAATCATTCTGTGCACAGTGCAACTGACCCGAATCCCTTCAGTGGGCTGGAAAGAAGCATTAGGAAACAAAACTAAGCGACAGCAAAGGACCGAAAGAAAAACTCGATTAAGGCGAACAAATAAACAAATTAACGTGAGACAAACGTAACGATTTCGTACGTATTTCCCGTAACTAAACCGCAAAAAGAAAAACCAACATCCCGGTTCAAAGCGAACGACATTCTATGAAGAAGCGTCTCCTATCATCTCACCCGCTTGCTTTTCCCATTCATCGTTGCACGCTCCTTCCCATTCAGACACCCCTCTCCTCTTACGGCGTCCCCGTATCCCTAATCCATCCTTACAAACGATTCTTCCACCGATTTTTGTATTCCGACCATCCACAGCCCCTCTGATCAACAACCCCCCGCCTTTACAAACACCGGATACCGGAGGGGTTTGATATCGACGCTCCCTTCTTACCTTGCAGCCGAACATGAGCGACAGGGTCCGGTTACTACAGACGACCTTACACTGGCACATCACCGGAGAGAAGCACTTTATATTCCTCTCAGGCGGAGACATGAGAAGGATGCCAGACCCAACTACAATCGCACGCCGCCGATCCCTCCGAAGCTGCTGACAGCGGGAAGAATCGGGCCGAGGGGGCGAAAGGGGGCTACCGCCGGTTATTTAGTGTAGATGGACTCGACAGCTTCTCTTCTCCCCGGTATCCGGATCCTGATTGTACTAAACATGTATGTAGTGCTTTCTATTATCGGCGATGAAAAAAAAAACTAAATATTGCACAAATCCGAAAACAGATGTTCACAATAGATGTTCACATATTGATCATGTATGAATAGACCTATTTTTAATTCTATGATTGCACATCATACGCTTGGGCAAAAGCTTTGGACTGCTCCCCCCATTCCCCGTTCTCTCAGAGAATCTCCACCTTGCGCCCCCTGCCCCCCCCCTCTCTCCCCTACACACACAAACACATTCAGTCTCTCTCTTTCTCTCTCCAAAGAAGTGACAGGTGGAATGTGCAGAACCAATGGGCAATCAAATATGGGCTTTCGACCCTAGAGGGCGAGAGGAGTGAAAAAAAAGATAAGGGGGGGGGGGGTGATATTTTATAAATGCAAATAAAAAGTGAAAAAAGAAGCAAGTAATTTAACAGCCATAAAACTTTCTCAAGCTTGTCGTAAAAAGAGAACCCGGACAACGTGTCCCTTTTTTAAACCTCGTTTACGTAAAACACTCTGGATGTCCCGCATGGAAGTCGTCGCATACATACGTAACATGCACTAAGTCAAGCAGCCAGTCACACACACACTGAGCCCCATATGCTACTGAATATCCTGCCATAAAATAAAACCGAGCGATTCACGACACTTACTTTCCCTTCGGTTAAAGAACGGTCGCTGGACGGAAACTCTTGGAATAATTTCTTCTGCTTTGCCGTCGTCGCTTTGGCTTATCTTCAGTCTAAAGAGTCTAATTATTGGGCTATGCCGATAACGCCGCAGACCCCGCATAAGACGGCTAGAAACGAAATGGAACAAAATGTATGAAAACACCGCCACCTAGCGCTCATTTAAAACATAGTCAAAACTCCAGAACAAATGTCTATCGGCTGCCGTCGAAACGTCGTAGAAATTAAACTGGCAGTCTAATTTTGGCAAGCTGTTCTATTAACAGTACACTGCGAAACATTATCATAAAATAACGCCTATTATACGAAATCGTGATGAATGATACTTATTATGTATGTTTCAAGTTGACTGCAGTTACAAGAAACATTCCTATTATATTAATTAAACATACAGTCTACTTGCATAACTGGACTGGCCGGCACTGCCAGCTCAGCAGCGACCTGTGCTGTACTGAGGTACTTCATCTGGGTGAACAGTGCTGCAGGCTTACGTCCTGGGACTGGATTACAGGTTACTAGAAGACACGCTGTACACTGCATCATTTAAACTTGCAAGAAGCTAGGGGCTGCTGAGATTTTTAATTACCGCGAGAACGAGTCCAAACCGAAACGGATAATCATCAATGCCGAGGGGCTAAAACAACTCTGTAGTGAAATGAGGGCACCAAACTTGCAACAGAAAGTCCGGTAGACTTCCAAGTAGTAAATGTCTAATGAACCTGCAAATGACTAGGACTGATAAGAGAGCAAATCTTGGGCATCTAAATCTGTTTATATCTTCTGAAAGTGGAAAGGCCCCGTGGAAAAGTACTTTATCCTGACATGCAGCAAATAAAAGTCTGAGACCTTAAAGCTCAACAATACTGTTAAATTTACACAAACAGTGATTCATTTAACAGAAAACTGAGAGTGTGCGCCCTGTAATGGACTGGCAGCCCACCCTGAGTGACTCTCAGTCTTGTGCCCTATGCTGCCTGAGATGGATGCATGTCCCGCTTTTATCTTTGCTACTAATATGGTGAATGAGACCTATTTGTGGATCACAATAATGCTGTATGTATTGTATGTACATGTGTATGTACAGCTCTGGAAAAAAAATGAGATCACTATATATTTTTTAAAGACTGCATTTTTAAATCCAGGTTTAATCCTGGTTCTGCTGGCAGAAGGCTAACTGAGCGGCAGGTTGCTTCTGAAAGCGGTACACAAGAAGAAGGTGAAGCAGGAGACACTGGGGACAACCAGAAAGCAGCATGTAGGGGGCAGAAGCGACTTCCTAATGCCACACATGACCGTCAAGTTATTCGGCAGTTTCTCATGAATCGCAGGATGACATCAACTGACCTTCAAAAGGAATGGGAAACATTAAGTGCAGGTGTGAAGTGCACTGCTAGGACAGTTCGAATCAGGCTCCTAGAAGCAGGACTGAAGTCCCATAAAGCAGGGAAGAAGCCCTTCATCAAGGAGAAGCAGGGAAGAACCAGGCTGCAGTTTGCAAAAAAATATTATTCACATATACCCATAAACCGAAAATGAGTGAAACAAAAAATTGTGCTTTGGTCTCTTAATTTTTCCCAGAGCTGATTTATACATAATGATACATATTGCAATGTTTTCCACCTTTTGGGACGCAGGGACGGATTATGGGTTGTGTGGGCCCCTGGGCAAAACGTTCGCGAGGGCCCCCCCCCACCACCAGCATCACCACCACAACCACCACAATTCAAGGGCCCTTGGCAGCCAAACGCCCTCCCTCCATGTTTCCATCAGAGGCCCTATAAGGTCAGGGGCCCTTGTAGGCAGAGGATCAAAGAATGTAGGCCCTCTAAAATAGACAAACGAAAATACATTGTTGATAAGCGTTGCAAATTGTTTTGGGCTAGGGGCCCCACGGGTCCCCTGCACCCCAAGGGCTCCTGGGCAGCGGCCCCGCTGGCCCGGTCCGTAATCCATCCCTGTTGGGACAACATCATGGCACTGAAACACGATGCAACATTCTCCCAGAAAAAAAAAATCAATTTCATGTTTATAATATTTCATATTTAAAATACTTAAAATTCAAAAAGTACTCATATAACCATCTAGATGAGGATGCTACCAATCCAAGGAATTACATGGACAACATCAGCGCAAAATTACATTTTAGTTGGTTCCCTTTCATGAGTTCATTCAGCAGATGTTTCTTTTTCACAATTGAGCAACACAATGTGCCTTGAAAAAACCATCATGAATAAAAAAAAGAATTATTTCCTTTTGTCAAAATACTCTAAAGAGAGTACAAGCCAGAGGCATTTAATTCAGGCACGGTCTCAATTAAAGTCAACCTGTAAAATAAAGAATCAAACGCCAATGCCAAAAACTTGCAGAATATTAAAAGCGATTTTCCTGCTGCTCATGTGCCAAAATATATTTCACATGTGTCATTCTTGGCCCATTCAGCCTCCCTTATTGCAGCGGCGACTGTCGGAAATAACAGGTGCGTAAACAATTGCTTTCACACTTCATTCATTCAAATGGCAAACAACTATTTTGGCTGAATGAAATCAGTGTCAGTCATGTTTACTGGTCCCCTGACTCTCAAATAAGCCGGCAAGCTTGACTGCATGCCAAGCACAAGTCAGAGGAGCCTGAACACACAAGGGGGTGGGGGGGGGGGGTGATCCCAAATCGGCTGCGATATTGGCATTTCAGTTAATGTTTTTGTACAGGAATACAAATATGATTATTGGAAGTTTTTGGAAAACTAAATATTTTCCAGTTATTGGTGAAGCAGTGGGGCGGGGTTAATATTACTGTTTATTAACATATCTAAATATTACCTGGAAATCAAATAGTAAATATGCAGTAACTCTTTCAAATTAACTGCACCTTCATAAAGCCTTTATAATGCATTCATAGACCATGTAAGTATAATTTAACATTACTTTAACATACCTTAAAAGATTTAATATACATGAATAACAATCATTATATGATAATAACTTTGTAATGATATAATCATATGTTTGTTATTAATGTATACTAAATATATTAAAATTCTGCTTATTATGTTCAATGGGTGCATTATAAACAATGCACACTTGTACACACAAACGTGCAGGGAAGCAACACACCATTGCACAGCTGAGCATGCAGAAATGCAAACGTCACAAGCGCACGCACGCACGCACGCACACACAAGAAGGGAGAGGGTAAAGGACAGTCCTGTGCACAGACACCCTGCAGGCTGACCTCGAGAGGCAGTGAGGCTGCTTAAAATTCAGAACCCAGCCAAACATACGCAGGCCCGAAGGGAGGGGCACACTATCGCATGACCCGAGCAGTGCAAAGAGACGTGTGGGGAGAGGAGGAAGGTAAGCAAAACAGAAATGCATTCCCTCCACAATCATACTGTATAGGGGGGCTTTTGTGGGGAGGTTAAAGAGACAGAGGATCCTTCCTGGAAGGGGAAAGCTAATTGGGGGGGGGGGGTAACAGGGTGGTGGGGGTTGGGCAGATCACTAAAGGGGTCCCATAAAGAGATTAAGAGAAGGCTAACAGCACAGGAAGTTGCACGTTTCCAACACAAAGAAAATTATCATTATGACTTTGCTTTTGGTGCAAATAATAATTATTGTCATCACCCCACCTACACGTGTGATGTAAATAATAACTGTAACTAGAAATTACACAGCGGGTGAAAAACTGGAAAAGATTTATTCAGAAAAAAACACTTCTCCATTAATATTACGGGGACTTCCCAGATGATGCACTGGCAAAAGCTGTATCTTACTGTGGGGGCCCAGTGATTATTATGACACGGAAGCCAGGTGTTGAAATAATCATGTTAAAGTTTGAAAGAGTGTTTTCACACAGTCCCACTTATTGTCTAACTCCTTTGCACTGTGTTTTGTGTCTAGATCATTACATCATACTCTGTGTGTCCGTTCAGCCTCTATTACTTTCCCCATTTCCTAAAGTCTTCTGTTCCTTTTCCCTCTTCCCTCTCTGACTCTGCTCCTCTTCCTTGTCTTTCCTCTCCAACTGCGTCTTCTCTCTGTGTTTCCTCTCTGATCCTGCTCCTTTTCTATTTCCTCTCTGACTCTGCTCCTCTTCCTTGTCTTTCCTCTCCGACTGCTCCTTTTCTCCGCTTTTCTTCTCTGACTCTGTTTCCTCTCTGATTCTGCTCCTTTTCTGTTTCCTCTCTGGCTCTGCTCTTCTTCCCCATCTTTCTTCTCTGGCTTTCTCCGTTTTTCCTCTGTGGCTCTGCTCCTTTTCTGTGTCCTCTCTGGCTCTGCTCCTCTTCCTCGTCTTTCCTCTCTGGCTCTGCTCCTCTTCCTTGCTTTCCTCTCTGACTCTGCTCCTCTTCCTTGCTTTCCTCTCTAACTCTACTCATCTTCCTTATCTTTCCTCTCTGACTCTGCTCCTCTTCCCTATTTTTCCTCTCTTACTCTGCTCATCTTCCTTATCTTTCCTCTCTGACTCTGCTC